CTGGGGAATTCTGGGAGTTGAAGTCCGCCCATCTTAGAGTCGCCCAGGTTGAGAAGCCCTGTTGTAAAGTGAGAGATCTTCCCCTCCCAGCTTTGCATAACTCAAATTTACCAATCTCCCCTGTGAAAATGGAGAAGCGGAAGAGGAAGAATTCTAGGCACGTTCCAAGGAATTCGATCATCACATTATTCTATTAGCGGTAGAGATGAAACAGGCTTCAGCGGACATTAACTGACCCATTTTTCTCCCTTCAGACAACTTCTCAGCTTCAGCCGAATGAACTTTCCTGGAAAGGTTTTCCTCCGTTCTCATCCCTCGGGGTAAACTGAGGCCACTAACAGCCTGAGTCTCGTCTGTGCCCAGCACCAGGGAACGATGCCCCTGGCTGGGCGCGCAGGGCACTGGAGCGAAAGATTGAAGGTGACAGTGACAGCCAGGAAGACAGATCGGTCCTGACACCCAAGGCGAAGAGGAAGAAGCGTTGGAGTTTACCGAGTTGTCTGAACAAGGGCCATCTGAGAAAAATCTGGGACAAACCCTAATAGGTGTCTCACGTAATTGAGCCAAGTTGCGCGCTGGGGCAGGGGTGAACGGAATTGGGGCCTCGCAGTCTAAACCATTCTGACCATCTGCTTTTTTTCAGATTTCAGCAATGGCCTCCTCCAGCACTGTTCTTTACACTTAAACCAGGCTTAAATAAGAAAATAAGCGATCCCTACAGAAACTTTTGCCTTGTTGGGTAAAGTTTGTCCCCACTGACATTTTCCTCCTGAATATTGCAAACTCTCATTCATCCTTTGCTCAAATCCTGAATCAGCAAGATCTCTGGGCAGACGGGTTTGGTACCTTTATTTACAGAAAAAACAGTCAGCCATGGTTTGCGTTAATCATGGTTTTTGTTGCATCTATTGTTGTCTGCAAACCACAGTGTCCAGTTTATACAGCATTCTAAGCCAAAACCTAATCAAATATATTATAAGTTAGGGCAGTGTTTTCCAATCTTGGCAACTTTAAGATGCGTGGACCTCAACTCCCAGAATTCCCCAGCCAGCATGGGGAATTGCGACTGTTCAGAGA